TCCTTTAAAAATAATTATCTCGCAATTTTTAGTTGGTTTCTAAACTAAAATAATCAATTTGGCTAGGTGTTTTGACCGAGTGACTGTATATGCACAACAAGCTCCTGCGGGAGTATAGTATATATGCTGTTAGTTTAACTGATCAGGCAAAAGTGCGATGTATGCGTGTATCCCTATATAAAATCCTCCTCGAGAATAATACGAAGTTAGAAGTTGACCGCTAAGAGTTGTACCTTGAGGCGGGTACCCTACTTGGAGGGGTGGCAACCTGCAAGGGAACGGCCTAACCCGGTCCTAAAAAAATTCGGCCTGAGGGTAGAACTGACCTAGACCAGGGCCAATGCTGGCCTGGACCCGTCCCTTTTTCTTTGTGTTTTACCCAGTATTGGAAAAATTGAACCGGAAGCAATTCAACCGGCATGGCCGGTTCAACCGTTCTAACTGGAAAAGTCTCGGATGGTCAAAAAATTGTTAAAAAAATAAAAAAAATACAATTTTTTACTAAAATATGAAAAAGATATTTAAAGAATGATTAAACAAAGTACATCCAAATGAAGTTGAAAAATTAATGAAAAAAGAATTTTAAATAATCAATTTGTGTCTAGAAGTATTTTTAATTTTTTTTAAAAACGATGGAAAAATATAAAAATAAATATTAATGACCAAAAAAATTTCTAATATTTGCTATAACAATGAAAAACATTAAAAATACATTACAAATAAAATCTCTTATTTTTTGAGATTTTATATATTATTTTTGTAAAATACTCGGCCGGTTACCAAAACCAGGCGAAATCAAAACCGGCTAGTGGTTGGTTCCGATCTAATCGAGCGGTAACTGATTAGATCTAGCGATTTTTCCTACAATGTTTTTAACTTTTCTTTTTTTTTGACCTGGTCCGGCCCTGATAGGCTAGGGCCAACTTTTTTGCCTAGTTAGAGCCGGGCCAGGGTTGGCCTGGTTAGGGCGGGGCCACGATTGGCCCGCCAAGGCCTTGCTTGTTGCCGGCCTACCTGCTTGACCAAAGAAATATATGGCCCCTACACATATTTTAAAGAATAGACTCGGTGCAAATAGCATAGTACAAATCCGTAGGACATGGGCCCCTACAACTCGCGTTTGCCCCGGATGCTCACTGCCACGCTCCCCCACCAGATTAATCCTACAATTACGTGGACATACGAGGCCCACTCAACACTCCCAAAGTTCTCATCTTTGCAGTGCTTAGAGGGAGAGTTTAAGGGCTACAGAAGCATTGACCGAAGAATCTGCACCAACCGTTTCTGAGTAAAGGATGGATCTGAACCGTCCAATAAATGGAAGAGAAGTACGGACCCACAACGTTTGTGATACGTCTGAGAAAAATCCCTAAGATTACGTAGAAAAGGGTTAAGAAACAATCAAAAGGAATCTTTTTAAGCAGGGGAGGGGGGAGGCAGGCCCTGACCAAAAGGTCACTTCCGACCAATGCCTACCCAGATCCACGTGTACGGCTGCGATCAGGTACACAGGCATAGCCCACGTGCAAAAGTGGACCTTTTCTTCCTCATTACCCCTAGGAAGCCAGGCGGGAAATTACTCAAATTGTAATAACTTCAAAAAGGGAAAAGTAAAAGGAAAATGGTTTGATAGGGCGGCCCTATCAAACTAAGTGAAGCCTCACCTAATAATGCATTGAATACTGGAATTCATCATCTCGGCTTAAACATTATGGGTTAAACTCTAAAATTAGTGTATATTGCAACAGATTATTTAAACCACCTATTTCACCCTAAGTGTTCAATGATCCACAAGATTTGTATCATTTTTTTAGTTTCAAATTTAATTTTTGGTGTTAAAAATCGATTCTAGTGGCATCATGGAGATTTCTATTGCCAAAAGTGCTTTCCAATCGACAATTTGATTTGAGGCTTTATTTTTGTTTTTTTCCATAAAGCATAGGCGTATAAAAACATCATCAAGAAAAAAAAAAAGGAATTGGAAAATCCTTCAAAAAGGAAAATATTTTAATAGGGATGCAGCCCTATCATCAAAATAAGTAGAATGTCCCCTCAAAACTCACCAAATTTTGTAGTTCTGATGTTAGAAAACCTTTAAATCACTCATCTCAGCCTTGACTATTTGGTTGTGGAAAAAAAATTAAGATTTCAAGTCCTCAAAATAGGGTATAATGCATTATCTAAACCATTCATTTTTCCCTAAAAATAATTGTTCATGGATCCACAAGATCTGTAACATTTTTTTCGCTTCAAATTTCATAGCCAATGTTGGAAATTGATTTTAGAACCACCATGGAGATTTTCAAAGCTCAATGGAGGATTTGAAGTGAGGCTTTACTTTGCTTCCATAAAGCCTAGGCCTTATCGAAACTTCCTCCAATTTATAAAGGGTGTAGTTTGTATAGAGCCTAGGCTCCAAACAATCAAATTACAGCCTACCTTCAAACAATGTCGAAAAATGTGGTTTCAATATTGAAAATCTTTGTGGAAGCCTTAAAATATATTTCCATCTTTATTTATAAAGTTTAAAGCTTAAAAAAAAGTGTAAATCGATAGATCTATGAAAACTTGAAATTTTTGAAAACTGACGGTCCAAAAATGAGGTACAAAATACACTATTTTTAGAATGTGAAATCCATTTTTTTCTCATGTCCATGCATCTTGATGTTGAGATGATCAATTTGAGGATATTTGAGCATCAAAACAACCTCTTCTAATGAAATTTGATTGTTTAGTGCCTTGGCTCTATGTTAACTCTTTCTATTTATAAATGAAGGTGTCTAAAGACTATTCAAACTATAACTCATCTTTAGGAAAGGGGCTGGGGTCGTGGTGGTAGCATCCCCACACCCAGTTACCATATCCTGGTGTCCATTCTTCTCGCTGATATCTCCAATTAACATCTTTTCAAAATGTAACTCCCGAATCTAATGAAAAAACGGGTAGGGGCCTGTCTTCCTCGCTAAATTACCCAAAAAACAAAAAAAAAACTATTACTCATCTTCTCCAACATCGTGAAAATATACTTATATTCCTCATTGTCAAAAGAGAGTATAGTGTGGTACTGCCTTCCATTGTCAAAATAGACTGTCCGTCTATTTCTTATCATATACGGTAATAGATAATAGTGAATGGCTAGGCTTTGGTGTTTGTCGCAAATTCCGCACTATATTTTTAATGAGCATTTGAAGAATTATTAATTGAAATTGGAATCACTTAATTCAGTTCGGGATTAGCAAGTGGGATATTCTTATTTGGAAAAACCCAGAATCCCTTTACGAATTATTTTAATTGCTCTATAATGTAAAGCTTCATCTGACTCGAGAACCCCCCGAGTGAGACTATATAGCCCTTTTGATGAAATGAATAATATGCTCCCTAAGGGATGGCTATCTCCACTAAAGGGATGCTTTAAATTAACTTTTTGATGGGAGTTCTTTTGGTAACCCAAGTGAAGCGTGTATCCGAGGAGCTGTATGAAATTGGAATGAGTTAATTTTGTTTGGTTATGCAGGCCCGATCGGTTTGGTAACAACCAACCATGCTGAATTCAATGCCCTCTTTCATGGTCTTAAATTTTTTAGACAAAAAAATATGGGTTCTATCTGCATGGTAGAAGGGGATTCGTTAAATACTATCAAATGATGTAATACTGAGCAACGAGTCCCTTCGGAGCTTCGTTCTATTTGCTGCCAGGTGATGGATATGATCGATGTGTTGACTGTCCATCCACCATATTTATAGGCAGGCTGATAGTGTAGCAAATGCCCTAGCCAAGAGAGGAGTTACTCTTTCTTTGATTTTAATTACGGATGATGTAAATCTCTTGTAATTTTTTAGCAATAAAATTTTATAACTTTTGTCAAAAAAAAAAATTGATCTCTCAAAGAGACCTAATCCAAATCCCTAACTTCTAACGAGTACTCAGTGTTCATAAAAAGGTTAATTTTGTTTGAGGTGAGGCTTTATTTTCTTTTCGTAAAGTCTAGGCCTCAAAGAAACCTCATCCTATCTATAATATCAACCCATATTATAAGTTACAGTCAAATAATATAGTCAAATATTGGCGATCCTGAGTTTTATTTTGTCGTTACATATGAGCAGAATGGCCAACATAATCCTTTGTTGATATATGAAACAATTTAGATCATTTTTTTTATAATTTCTTTAAATATCGCTCTTTACATCAATTATAAGGCCATTATTCTAGGGAAAATATTAATAAAGAAAAAATGGGACAGCTGTTATAATGTATCTTGTATTAAGTCTTATCACTGATGTTTTTCAAAAATTTACACCGTTAGATTTTTTTCAAGTAAAATTTGTCAATATACCCCGTAGGGAAGTATTACTTTTCCTAATTGCAACTATTCCAACTCAAAGCCATTTCTTTTTTTAAGGGTATATTGAAATTAAATCCGAAAATAGGGTAAAGTTTTCAATTGTTCATGTCTTGTGAGTAATTGTATAGATTTTCCTTTTTAAAATAATGAATTATTATTCTGGTTTCCTGGTTTAAACCAGGATATATCGAATAATACCATTATATAAGAACCTGTGCCTTAGCGCTCTTCAGATTCATACCCATGTTTTCAAAAAAAGAAAAACGATTCAAAGAATTAATATTTATATATAATAGCAGAACATTTTAAAGCATATCTTTTTTTAGCATGTTTGAAAAGCCTATAGCCACAAGTGTTTATTCGTTAGTTTTGCTTAAATATAGCCAATACAAATAGTTTTAATGAAATGAAAATGAGTAATATAAATGAAACCTCTGAGATATATCAAGTCACTTGCTAAATTAAATTGAAATATAAATCCCGCCAATACATACAGCTTTAAGAGAATGCACTTTTCACCTAAATTTACATTTTTCCCATAATTTCAGTAGTTTTTAATTCCCTGTACTTTATTTTGATAAAATCTTCCGATTGGATTGTCTCTCATTTCCTTGCATTTTTCCAACTCAAACTCCAAAATAAATTCAAAAAAATATGTTTAATAACAAATAAGCTTGTATCCATCTTCTCAGAGGAGAAACGACAGATATATAAATGTGCAAAAATAATGTTATAATATATCACCATTTCATCACAAAAATAGTGTATATATAATATGAGAACATCCACATGTAACTCCATATAAAACTAAGGAAAAGGAGGGAGAAAAAAAATGTCTTTCTACCTGGAAGGCTGCAATCACTACCTATATTCTCATTCTTTTCGCCCCGCATGAGCTGCAACTCCACTCCTCATCAGACACACGCCCCAGCTGCACAATATGAACAAAAAAAATAACATGTAGAGAGAGAGAGAAGAGGAGAGAGAAAGAGAGAGGGAGAGGAATTTCCTTTTGAAAAATAACCTTTTGCTTCCCTTTAAAAAAAAGGAAAACAGTTGTTCCGTTATACCCTATGCAACAGGCATGGGAACTCAAAACTCTTGTTTTCTTTAACCATTTTGTCAACCAAATTTAAAACTCTCAAAATTAACCAACAGAAAGATAAGCAAAACCCTACATTTACCAAAAAAAAAAAGTAAAAGAAACTGAAGGCTCCCCATGCACAAGTAGAGAGAAGAAGCAAATCCCAAGAAAACCCACCACACATAATCATGGGAAAAGGGCGTTTTTCGTTCGCCACTAATTAATGGTGCAAAAAACAGAGCCTTTCTCATCAATCTCATTCATACAATGATTTAAATGTCTATTATCTAACCAACAAAATAATGAATGTTCAAGTCGTACAAGGAATTGAATGGAGTTGCAGGTGCAAGGCTTTAAGAATGGGCTGCTAACATTATGGTCGGGGAATTGAAGAAAATCAGAAGGAAAGACTTTTAATAATATTAAGGCTTTTGATTTGATAACTGTGTTGTGTTTCTCTCTCTTCCCGTCTTCGGTTCTTGAGAGTTGAGATCACCCATGACCGACAGGCTCAGAAATCAGAGCAACGGTTGCTTCTCAAAATCGAATTGGGGCAAAGACCAGTGATTAAATTTAAGGGTTTTTTTTGCACAAACTCCAAGTTTCTTAAGAAAAGCAATGTAATACAGGAAATAGAAGCAGTTACCAGCTGGTGATAACAGTAACAGTCTCGGGGGTCTCTCTCTCTAGAAATTGGGATTTTTTTAAGAGAGAGAAAGTAAATCATCCAAGAAGAATGCTGGTTTTGGTCCCAACATAACAGACATTTTTCAGAAGAAAGTTAGTAAATTGGGTCGGTACCAAGTGAGTGGAGTTTCTAATAATAGGATGAGTGCTGAGCTTCTTTTCCTGCACAATTGCTAGTATACTCAGAAGAGAATTAATGCTTCCATGCACCTGCAACTCTAGAGAGAGAGAGAGAGGAGAGAGGGACGAGATAGAGATACCAGGGTTCTTCAATGGAGGTTGAAGCACTGGGCATGGATTGTTCCTCAAATCGCACAACAGGTTATTGGGTTCTCCTCATACAAACAAAGAATTAATACTACACAAAAAACAAATTCCCTATACAATCTGTGTCTGTCTGTCCCCATGGTCCTTTGGACCAAACAAATAATAATAAAACTTTGAAGTGCCCTGAAACTAGCCCAAGAGACTGAATCAACGCCATTAATTCTCTTTCACTTTCTCTTTTTTTTTTCTTATACCTGAGGAATTAGACTGTGGGACTGTAGGCTCTCAATCCTGCTGCATCTCAAGAATTGCAATGGCATCCATCCAAAACACCGAAATCCAAAGCGGAAGAAGAAAGAGGACTGAGAAAAAAACACCCAATCGAAACTCACAAGGAGAAAACTGGAAAGCCCATCTTGCTCTTGCTGCTAGAGAAAGGGAAGTGAAAGATATTGGGGGCGAAGTCACTGTGTGGAGAGATGGTCGATTTCGACTACTGTGAACTCGTCTGGTGGTCATCTCCACTGTCGGCCCCTTGTTGTTGCTGCTGCTGCTGCTGCTGCTGGTGGTGGCGCACCTGCTCCATGGCCTGCTGCGCCGTCTGTTGCTGCCCCCCCTGTTGTTGCTCACTGCCGACCGAACCCCGATTGTATGCATTCAGGGCCGCCAGCATCCCGAGATTCGTATCCGAGATCCCAAGACCCAAATTGTGCGACCCCGGCGGCCCCAACATTGAGCCCAAGGGCACATGACCCACTCTCTCCAGCCCCGCAAGTCCTCCTGATATATTAATTCTCGGCATAAAATGTAAGGGTGCTTGTATGGTGTTACCGCTTTGCAATGAGCCCGAGCCTCCGAGGTGGATCGATGTGCCCGCCGGCACCCTGTACATTGTGCTCGGGCCCGCCGCCGAGGGTGGGAATGTCCAGATGGGCTCTGAGGGCCCGGCAGCTGCCATCACCCCAGGGCTGCTCGCACCCGCACTTACTGGCAGCATCCAGAAGGCCCCGGGGCTGCTTGACAGCCCTGCAGCCGGAGCAGCAGCTACTGCCCACATAGCTGCTGCCGGCATCACCGGCCTCGCTGCCTCCGGCGGAGGCCGTTGCTGCTGCGATTGCATGCCCCTTAATGGCTTTGCTGCCTCCGCCCCATCATCCTTGAACAAGTCCTCTCGGAACCTCTTGCGGACATAATTCTCCCCTGGGTCACCCCCCATCGGCTCCCCCGTGAGGTGGTCTCCTCCTGCAGCAGCGGCAGCCAACAGGTTGTCATGCTGGAAGCCAAGGATTGACTGCTCGTGCACCGCACGGGCTGCGTCCTCTGCGCGCTCCCAGTCAGGCCGTGCTGAGGCATGATGTTGGATCCCAAGGAAGGAGTGGTGATGTGGGGCGGCCTTCGATGCACCGGACATGGCCGAGCTCCCTCCGCTCCTCAAAGAGACGTTCAGGGTTGAGAAGTTAGCAGGGATTGTTCCAGTGCCCGTGGCTGCTATGATCGCAGGCTCCGCCTGTTGCAGGAGCCACTCGATCGTCTCACCATCCGACTTGTGCCCTAGCTCCCGAGTGAGCTGAAAAACCCTGGCCGCACATGTAGCAGGCATGCGTATGCGGCGGCCCCTGCCATCGACCTTCGTGTGTCGGTCCTTGGATGAGCGTTTCGCGACTAGCTTCTTCGATGGATCTTGGATTGGGACTATGGCGCCAGGGTTGGAGCCCTCTGGCTTAGTGGGCTCAGGTTTCGTGGACATGGCGAGCTCGACATGGGTGGAGGAGGGACCTATGGAGCCCATAAAGGGACCAGGAATCTCTTTGGCGGAGGGCTCACCCCGGTACCCTACAACGAGGCCGCGGCCATCAAAGGCCACCATCTGTTGCTGTTGCTGTTGCTGTTGCTGTTGCTGCTGCTGAGAAGATGAGGGCGTAGACGAAGAAGGGCCTCCTCCTCCTCCTCCTTCTGAATTGGTCTTGGACCTGACATGATCACCTTGTTCCATAGTTAAAAGAGCCCCCACCTAAGCATCAAGCCCCCCACTTTGGTTTCTCTCTCCTTTCACCTACCAGGATCCCGTGATCTTCTCTTCCTTGAGGGGCCTGAAACATAGGCAATCGGGTGTGCAGAGAGGGCTAGAGAGATGAAAAAAGAGTGGGGTAGAGAGAGATGCGTCAGGTAGAGAGAGACAGGGGGAGGGGAATGGGAGGGAGATAGAAAGAAGGGGATTAGCCCTCCGGGGAGGGTAATCCAGGAGAGAGAGGACCTCTCTAAGGAGATGAAGGGCACACTCTAGAGAGAGAAAGGGGCACACTCTAGAGAGAGAGAGAGAGGGAGGGGGTGCGTGGCGGCGGAGCTGAGATTGACCAAGGTCTGTAGGCCTAAAACCCTAAGGACCTAAACCTAAGGGACCCCTCCTCAAACCTAGAGAGAGAGAGAGACCTCAGCTTAGAGAGAGAGAGCGAGAGGAGCTTTTTGGTCCAACTTGTGGGGGCCTGGAAAAGCAGCAGTAGCCCACTCGTGGGGCCTCGTATGGAATGTTAAATGGGCGGGCTCCCCACCTCTCCACCCCTTCGAGTTTCTCTCTCTACCATAAACACAACCCGGTTTTTCTCTCTCCCCCCTTTCCCTCTCTTCTCTACCTTTGATAATGATAAAGAGGATGATCCTGGTTCAAGCTCAAATTATTTTGAACCACCCGTTCCAACCCATTTATCTCCTTTCTCTCTCCTCTTTCTCTTTCTCTTTCTGCCGCAGCTACAGAACAGACAACAGCTTAGCAGTCCCAGACAAAAACCCCCATTCAAACTCCAAAGAAAAAAAACCTGCAAAAACCAAGTATTAATGGCGTACTTTCTCCCATATTTACCAATCTCTCTCTCTTCCTCTAAAAACCACCTCGCCTTCCCCTTCCTTCTTTTATGGCATCCGCCCACGTAAAAGTAAAATCCTCTATCTCTCTCTCTTGAGCCTTAGTACTTACAAAAGGTCTAAAAAGTAATGGGAAAAAAAATGAACCAAATGTATGAAAGAGCCGCCGTTCAAGTCCAAACAGCCGACTCAGTTAAACAGTCCCTTTTTATGCCCAACTCCTCCGGTTTTATGCTCCTAGAGAGAGAAAAATAAAGAGAGAATCCATGCTTCTAGAGAGAGAATCCATAGCGTTTTGAGAGAGAATAAGGGATGAGCCTCATTACTTGGGTAATTAGAGCGAGTGACACTGTTAGAGAGGGGGGGGAAGTGAGAGGGTAAAATGGGTAATAATGGTGGGTTATTTGGGGCAGGAGCGGGCAGACAGTGCAGGTGAGCGTCAGATAAGCATCTAATGCAGGGACAGCTCATCCCAACACACACTAAAATATAAAAAACATTCATTTAATAATTCAATGCTCCATCGGCCAGTCAACTCCACCTTGCCCCACTTTCCCCTTTTAAAATGCCCCACAAAAACGCCCTCTTACCTTTATGCCCCATCACTCTCTCTCCTCCAAACATATCCATCCCTTCCTTTTTCGCCTACCAATGGGCCGGTCCGGCCCAACTCATTTCCTCCAAAGACCAGCTGTCAATCACCCGTGCCGGGCCAATCCCTTTTCCTCTAAAGAAGTGGCACTTAATGGCTCGGGCCAGACCTAGCCCTATTCCTCTACAGACCAGCTCCGGCACTATCAGGGTTGGGCTGGGCCATGCTGGGATAAATTATAAAAAATAAAATAAAATAACAAAAAATAAAGGTCAGGCTGTCTGTGTCTTGGCCTGGCGCAAGCCGAACTGTCGGGCCATATTGTTGTAGCCTAGGCTTTTAATTTTATTAGAGTGGGACCCGATGAACGGGCCCATTACGACCTTTACTTTTTTTTATCCATTCATGCGAGACAGGGATGCAAAGTGTAGAGAGGGAGAGCAATAGGCATTAGAAAAGAACACGGAAAATTTCTCTGGAATCAAAAGAATGTGTGTTCAAAATTCCACCAGCTACTACATCGTTGAGCGAGGATCTAGGAATAACCCCTCCACTCATTCTCTCTCTTCTCTCTCTTCTTCTTCTCAAACGTTTCGCCGAAGCAACTTCAAACTTTTCAATCGGGAGAGAGAGAGAGAGAGAGAGAGAGAGAGGGGAGTAAATAATGACTTTTGAAAAGTAAATCATACAGTTCTAGAGAGAGAAAGCCAATGAGTTGTAGAGAGAGAAAGCTGAGTTTCGAGTATAGGTGCAAAGGGGGCATTGGAAGAAGGATGAATAATGACTTTCTAGAGATAGAGAAGAGAGGGGGGGAATTTTGTAACTTTTGTTTCACTCTCAGCTCGCCAAAGACCGTATACTCACTGCTGATACATCACTCTCTTGTTGGGTTCTCCATATCGGGATTCCTGATAACGACCCCTCCCACTCTTTCTCCTCACTTTCTCTCTCTAAAACCCAAAACTTTCCAATTAACCTAACCTACTTTCCTCGAGCGAAATTTTATTGATTGATAACCCCTCATAAATTCCATCATTATTTGTTTTATCATATAAATAACCAACCCCAAATGGTTAAAAAGTTAAGGTTTAGAAATAATAAGCAGCTGAAAGAAAGAGGAGGAAAACAATTCGTTGTACAAACTAACTTGTCGTTCACAAATAAATACCTCAAAAAAAACGCCCAGTCGCCCCACATGTACTGAAATTATAAAATGTGAAAAATTTTGAGGACCTCATATATAATATGTATTTTAGTTTTGGGATAAGCAGTAGAAATGGAGAGGGGAATGAAAAAAAAGAGATATTTTTGTTTTATTTTGACTTCCTTTTTATTTTACTGATTTTTAGCCAGTCCATTCATATGAAACTCTTTAACCATCAGGAAAAAGGAAAATTATGGGAGAAAAAAACCATGATAATTCCTGGAGATTTCCTGCCCCCTCGCTTTTGGAAATGAAAAAAGCGATAAATCTCTCTCTCACAAAAAAAAGAAGAAGGGGATAAAAGAAACCCATAAAGAAGAATATTAATTTTCTTACTCCACTTTTGATTTAAAGGGCATAGAAAATTCCCAAATTCTACATGGCCACCATATGCTGCCCATCCCCAATTAAGAAAAGGAATAAAAATAATACTCTCAAACAAACACTCCATCCACAAACAATAAAAGAGATAAAAAATAAAAACAATACCAGTATAATAGCAAATAATAATGTTATAAATTTTTTAAAAATACTTCCCTCAGGAAAACCCAGTACCATACCTCCTACCCATACAGAGAGAGAGAATCCTGAGCTTTTAATGCCTGTTTACGGCCCCCACAGAGAGAAACAGAGATATATGGAGAGAGAGAGAGAGAGAGGTAATCTGAGAAGCAAATAACGCCTTATCTAGAGAGAGAAAGAGGCAGAGAGAGAGAGAAACCTAAGTTATGAATAGGAACTGAAGGAGCACAGAAGCCCCCATTTTGAGAGAGAGAGAGTTTTAGAGAGAGAGAGAGAGAGTCATGAGCTTTGAATAGGTCTCTGAAATGGCAGATATTCCCCCCCCCCCCTTTGAGCTCTGGCGGTATGCAAATCTCAGTTCGTCGTTGTAGTCTTTAAACCCAAAATGTTCCAACGTTTTTTA